CGGTCATCATGTGACCCATGTGACTTCATCTCGACCAAAGGGAAATAATCACCTTTTGTAATCCTACAGGTTTTTATGAGATAAATCCACAGAATCCTAAAAGTCTGCAAACTTTTTTGTCTTATTAAACGATATATAAAACATATAATGTTGTTTTGTTCTTTTTCTTTCATTAAAATCCCGTTCAAACTTACTAACTTCATATTTTGAATACGGCATTAAATCCCCACGTTAGATAGCAGTACAAAAAGCAATTGAATCTAAAACAGAGTTGTTATCATCAGAAGAAGTAGTGGAAGTAACCATAGAAAATGCAGAGATGTTTCCTTATTTTTGCAAGAAAAATCACGTGTAACAAAATTTCTTCAATGTCCATCAGGACGTTGGCGAACATGTCTCTCCGCAATTTCCTGTCCTTTGTAGCTCTTAATAAATTTTGCCTTTTTGTTATCTCTCCTAAACTCTGTTCCAGAATCCATTTATTCCATCTTCTTCTTCTTCTATGTGCCGTGTCCCTTGACGTTTGCGATCATAGCTCTCCACAATTTCCTGTCCTTTGTATCTCTTGATAAATTTTGTTTTTTCATTCATTTACTCAAGCTCATTCTTCTATGCCGTGTCTCTTGAGGACGTTGGCGAACATGGCTCTCCACAATTTCCTGTCCTTTGTAGCTCTTAATAAATTTTGCCTTTTTGTTATTTCTCCTAAACCCTGCTCCAGCATCCATTTATTCGAGTTCGCTAGGTAAGTTGTGCGTTGTTTTCCTCTGCCCACTTTGCCTTCAAACTATCCTGGGATTATCAAATTTTCAAAGTCCTCTTTCCTCATTATATGCCTTAGAAATTTCAACTCTCTCTCCCTGATGTTAAGTATAAGTGTCCTTTTTGTTTCTGTTTCCTCTAAAGAGATCGACGCTTTTTTTTTACTCATGTTTTCTTTCATGTTTCTTGACCTTGTTCACCTGATTGACCAACAGTCAAGAACAAAAAAGTGACAATAAATGTCACACCATTCTTCATACCTCATTGTAATTTCACCACAACTTTTGGGCGTGACACAGGGTTGCTAACCGTCTTTATTGGAAATACATATACATATAGCCACTTTGAGAAATAACGTTGGCGCCCTAAATTTTCTAAATTTCAAAATCACTTTCATTGAATCCATTTCCGCGCAGATGTAGTATAGAACATAGCAAAGAGAAGGATTAACTGACCAATCAAATCTATTTTGTTCAGAAGTGCTCGCTGTCTCTAAAAGGAAATATGATTTTTTGAGTTGCCGACTAAATAACAACTTATAGGAAAACGGCTATTATTACCATTACCATTAAATTTTCCTTACTTTTATAATTACATATCTGGAAAGGACTTCCAACTTCTATGTGTTGACCATGTTTGCCGCAGTCTATGAATATGGAATTCAGTGAAGTTCGTAATTTGTTCAATATCAGAGGTCGGCAGTGAAGATTCAGAGAAAGTAGCGGTTGTTAATTAATTCTTTAAGTCTTCAATATCAGGTTGGCAGTGCAGACAATTTGGGAGAAAATAAATGGCTGCCTTTATACACGTCGCATTGAATATTTTGAGCTTTCTGATTGGTTAACCCTTCTATTGGTGAACTATAAAATGAGTCAACTCATTTTGACTTGCTCACTAGTACATACGTATACACAAAAAACTGCAACACGATGACCATTAAACATTTAACAATATTATCAAGTTTTAGTATCTGTCTAAATTTCTGAGACGACGTATTATGTACACTATTTACATTATTCGGACTATTGTCCTCATCTTTGTCGCCATGTTTATCACAACGTTTCGGCTGTTGTACGCTCCGGCCTTCTTCAGGTGGTTGGAATGTCGAACTGAACCCTTTATTTCGCTCACTGCGGTAGACTGTTCTAGTTCCACATGCCATGTCTAATGGATGTCAGTTATCTCCTGTTAATTCCCCTCTGAAAGTTCTCCACTGCCTTAACCAGGTATTGAACTCACACTCTTTGGGTCCAGTCACTGGATCTAACTAACGCCTTTATCCACTATGCCATGTGTCCTTGACGAAGGCGATAGTCCCTAAACAGGGCCGAGTCAGCGTAGTGTTACGACTTCCAGGGCGGATCAACCACGTAAGCAGGATCGCGCCGAAGTGTAACACTTGACGAAGCTGAAGAGAGGCGATACGTCTTCCAGGGCGGATCGAACGCGGAAACGGGATCACGCCGAAGATTATTCTCTCGACGAAGGACCGGAACCTCACAAAAGTAGCGTACTACACTTTGATCTAGGCCACCGGGCAAAGCAGCTGGTATTTATTGTACAAAAGTGCCACAAGGGCAGAATTGGAATGGGGGGGAGTCTGGTCTTCTACTGGCTTACTTCTAACTTAGCTAGCCTCATTTACTAACCCACTCGTCCAAACATTGTTTATTTCACCAAAACATCTCATCTACACAATACTGCCATACATATACACTACAACACCACATCCACTAATGAAAATTCTACTTAACCCCCATATATACAGCTTTTTGTAGGGGGTGGTTGATAAACAATGAATCCCCAATGTTCATGAACTTGGATTTAGACGAAAAAGGGGCTAAAACAATATGTGGAACGATTTGTTCAAGTACTCCCTGGATAGAGGGAGTAGAAAACCGTAGATATAAAATTACTCCCCATGTTGTTCGATGTTTGGAAAGCGTTGTCTAATCCGATGCTCATGAGGTACGGTTTTGGAGTCCACCATATTGGCCAGTCATCCAGTTTCTTGCATACTGCTGGACTTAAATCTGCGAGATCAGGAGTTGTGAAGGTCAAGGTCGTTTTTCTAAGGAGCGGGTAATGGCGGCCGCGACAGGCTTAAGCAAGTGGAAGACAGAACGTGGTCTGGGGGAGGAAGCAGAAGGAAGGAACTTGTTGAGAGCTGCAAGGGATAGAGAGAGGTGGAGAGCCATGATCGTATACGCCCTGAAAGGACATGGCATATAAAAAGAAGCTGCCCCACAGATTCAAAAACTTAAAAATCCCAGTCATATAATAGAAATGTTGTTAATTCATCTAAAAGTAAAACGTATTAATAGCCGAATGGGCCGATCTGTATCTTTGCAATTATCAAAGTATATGAACTTGAAGTTTTTTAACAGACAAATCTTCATCCAAATCCTACAAAGACATATCCAACTTTGGAGAATATTCTTTCATGTATGTTTTTTTTTTTTGTTCCATACAGAATTCGGAAATCTGTGGAAACACCGTATAAAGTAGTTGACCGCAATAAGTACTTCACTATTACAAAAATGTTTCCATAGATATCAGTGGTTGTCTCAGAAACGGCGAAAATGCCTGATATTGATAAAAATTAAAAAGCAATACCAGCAAAGAGAGATACCTCACCAGAGATCGATAAGAGCATGGACACAAAACAGCAAAGCAAAACAAAAACCATGTCTGGAAGGTCGGTTACTTGGAAAAACGACAATATATCAGTACTTGTAGTGGGCCCGTTGGCGGTTACCACTTGTAGTGGGTTCATAGCGTGGCTGTCATGTTGTTGATAGAAGTCAGACGTAGAAGAAACGCAAGGTTCAGATACTCCTGCCCGCCGAGCCCAACTACATAAAAATGTTGGACTTTGATTAAGTCCAAAGAAGAAGGAAAAGAAAGCAAACAAAACAAGACCGATAATATATGTATATACAAATATATATTATTAACAAGTTACAATACAGGGTAACAGTACAAAGGACGAAGTGTGTGTGAATATTCTGTATGTGCGTGCGTGTGTATTGTGCTTTAGCGTGTTTCCACGCTATTCCTTGTTAGCGACTACATTTCGAGGTTGATAGTTGAAATCCTCTAGGAATAAGAGAAATTTACCTCGAGGTGTCAGTGCACAGGCCTGAAAGGAAAAAAGAGATAGAGGCGAAGGGTCATTGGCTATTTATAGCCAGGAAAGAGAGACCCCTGGTGAAAGGGTTAACGGAGTGAAAGGAGGAGTTAACTCCGACATACTATTGACTTATCGATTTGTTCATGTACGACGAAAACAGACTCTGTCAAATATGGGAAGGAAAGTGATATGGTGAAGAATACGATATAAAAATAACTTTCTTTTCTTTGCTGTTTTCAATTCAAATTCCTGAACCTATTCGAAAATTTATTTTCTCCAATGAAATAAGGGCTGAAAAAAAGACCAAGTTTAACGAGCCTATGTGAAAATTTATTTTGAGTTTTGACCAATGGAAAAGGGAGTGACTTACAAATTGAGAAAAAAGTAACGAGGCTATGTGAAATCGTTTTTTTTTTAGAGAGAGAGAGAGAGAGAGAGAGAGAGAGAGAGAGAGAGAGAGAGAGAGAGAGAGAGGCAGGCAGGCAATTCTAAAGAACTCTATTCAACTCCAACCAAAGCTTAGTACCTTAAGTTCTTTTTTCAGATATTAAACATTTTGTGTGATGGACAATTATGTTGTTACCCGATTTGGACAGTTTTGCTGTTATATCCAGTATATATTCCATTTTACAAAAAAAAAAAAAAAAGGAAAAAAAAAGAATTTCTCTTTGAATTACTTCTCTGTCTGAATGGGACATTTTCACTATTGCTTTGTCACCTTTGTACATAGTGGTGAATTTTTCTACAGTTAGATACACAACACATATGATAAGTAAAATGGAAAAATATCTTGATAGCTAGCCTTCATTTTTAAAACTATTTTTTAAATAACTTTTTCGTTTTAAAAGAAAGACATCTGTAAAAAACAAAACAAAAAAACAAACAAAACATTTAATTGTCGGTAAATTTATCATGAGAACATGTTAGGCCTTTTTGGTTAGTATTAGATGAAAATCTTTCATTTTTATTAAAATTATCTATAGAATTTTGCTAATTTTGAACTCTTGCAACGTAAAATGTAGTTCATGACAAAGGTTTTCTTACAGAAATTATCACTGATAAAAATTTTCATGGCACTTTTTAGAGTTAACACCGTTAAGTGAAATTGTCATTGGTTTCACTTTCCCGTCTGCTTTATTTACAGAGGAAGCGTCAAAGTAAGTTTTTTTTTTTTTAAAGAGTTTCTTTTTAATTTAAAAAAAAATAAATCCCTGTTTATATATCTTAAAACTTGTCTTTTATTTGAATAATGATTTATTTACTGATCAATTATTTTTTCGTAGTATATTTCGGTTAAATTAGTTTCACTTTTGTTAAAAAAAAAAAAAAACATTTTTTCCCATATAGTTGCTTAATTTCGATTTTCTTCCTACTTTAACTTTAGTTTTCTTTTTCTTCAAATATTTATGATCAACTTGTTTTTTAAAACGATGATGCTTTGAAAATTAAATATGAATTTTATCGAAAGCTTTTCTTTTTTTTAACAAATTAAAACTTTTAGTTTTTCTTATCTTAAAGTTAAGAAGACTTTAAAAACTTACCCTCTTTGATCTTTTGCGGAAATATGAAAAGAAAAGTTATTTTCTGAAATAAAATAAAATAATAATTATTATTAATATTAAAGTGTAGTAATATTTTATAAAATAAAACGAATTGTTAAAAAAAACAAAACGATTTAACTTTGTTTTGAAGGAAAAAAATTCATAAATAATTTTTTAAAATTCATTTAAAACTTGAATATTTGTAAACTTTCAAAAACTTTGAAAAACCTGAAAGAAAATTAAAAACAAAAAACAAAAACAAACTACCTCCTAAAAAATGAGATATCCTTTATTAATTAATTAATAATTGATATATTGTGGGGATTGATTAGAGAAATTTCTTTTTAACAAATTAAAACTTTTTATTATCTTTAAAGTTTAAACTTAACTTTTTTGATCTTTTGCGGAAATATGAAAAGAAAAGTTAATTTTCTGAAATATGTAGTAATGTTTTAAAACGAATTAAAAAAAACGATTAAAAACTAAAAACGATTTTTAACTTTGTTTTAAGGAAACAAAAAGTTTTGATAAATAATTATTTTAAAGTTCATTTAAATTGTGAATATTTGTAAACTTTCAAAACTTTTTTTCAAAGTTAAAAGAAAAACTTGAAAGAGAAATTATAAAAACAAAAACAAAAAACAAAACAAAACAAAAAACCCCAATCAAACTACCTCCTAAAATGAGATATCGTTGATTAATTAATTAATTGATATATTGTGAGGATTGATAATTGTCGACTCTATCAATCCCCACAATATATCAATTGAATAAGAGATTCATATAGCCCAAAATTACGATATTTAAACTTGTAGAAAAAAAATCTGTTAAAAATTAATAAATCACACCAACAATAAAAAAGGAATTTATGAGGGGCACATTATTAATTTGATTTTTATAATTTCATAAATGGTAACAAAAAAAAAAAACCCAAAAAACCAAAAAAAAACCCCAAAAAACTTTTGGTGTTATTGGCCCGTAAGTAAGGTTTTTTTTTTAAAACAGATTTTTGTAACCTTTTCTTCATTGATATAAAAATTGAATGATAACTGTTTTTTTTTTAAGATAAAGCTTTCCTTTGTACGATATGAAATGTTAGTTAGTTGACTTAAAAAGAAACCCACGTACACTTTAAGTAGGAAATAAACGTTGTGATTTCTCGACAAAATATAGACATATTTCATTTCTCGTCTTATGAGAAAGAAATGTAACACCAGTTAAAAAAAGTGGGACAGATTCCATTAGGTAAATTTGCAAATATAGAGACGAGAGAGAGATAACTTTTATTAGTTTTTGCAGTTTTTTGTTTATTGTCACATCCCTAGGGAGCTTCAACATGGGGTACATAAATGGTTAACGAGCTCTAATCTGATTATTATTTACTACTGAGTAGTTCTATTTTTAGGAGGAAAGATAAAAAGAAGAAGAACAAAACAAACATTACTTAGTGGTACAGTGGATAGGAAATCGTCAAACGCCATACTTAATCGTTAAAAAAATATGGAACCCTGGACCAGCCCTTGCAATGGCTATCCTATCAATCTCCAACCTCAGGGGACCCTCTCTCCAGATATTACTTCTTATTCTGGAGATAACTAGAGGGTTATTACCCGGCGCCTGAGGCGCTCCCCCAAAAGTGGAAGTGCTGAGGGCAGGGAATTCGAGCACTTTTTGAACAAATCATAATGAAACCTAATTTGTCTCTCACTCTTCGCGAGTGGGCTTGTGGTTAATAAAAATGTACTGACATCAAATTTGACACAAGGCATAAAAAGAGGGAGAAAAATCGTGATTGGTTGCATCTGTCCCCTTTTAACTCAGCTAGTCACAATCACAAGCATTATTCGATAAAAACGGGATATAAGTTAGAACGATCGGAATTTAACATAGTTTGAAATACGGAGTGCTAAAAGGGGTGGATGGAATTTTTTAAATAATGTTAATTTTATTTATTGATTTTTATTATTCTTGGTAATGAAACTGTCGTAGAAAGGAACATTTTCTTGACGGTCTCTCCCATCGATTTAGATGTGGTGAGAGGATCCGACAAACACATTCAGTTTT